GTTTCCATGGGAAACTTCTAGCTCTTATAGTCTAGGATTCTAGGTAGATGGGATCTAGGTAATACTATGGACAGACATGAAGAGTTGAAGAAGCCCTGGAGGTGATCTCATCTAGGTATATCAAATGCACGGCATATAGGCTGCCTCTTCCCTATGCTATGCCCAGGGTAGACATCACTAATGGATCACAATCCTCTTTTTTGCTGAGCCTAGTGGTAGCTTCAGAATCCTTTTCAATTCTATGCTGAGGAAGCAATTAAGACATGGTACATTGGATAAACCTCTATGTTAATCAACCTTCCCAATTTAAAAATAAGGAAACTGAGGTCCAGTAAACATCTGTTGAGCAATTAATATATATCAAGTCTTGTGCTAGATCCCACAGGTAAAAAGATGATCAAGTCTTATGCTCTAATGACTTTCAGTTTAACGAGATATGTGAACTGTTAAACAAGCAATTACAATACTGTGTACTGAATATTATTTGGCCACATGGGAAACCACCTAACCTAGACTAACATTCATGGAAGGACTCCTGCAGGAGGAAGCACTTAAGCTAAGACTTGAATGGAAATAAGAGTTTGTTGGATGAAGAAGGGGTGAAAAGGACCATTCTAAACAGAGGAAGGAATCCAACAGTGCCAGACAGCTCAGACTACTCAAGCAGTTATAAGTCGCAAGGATGCCTGGAACTTTGAAGCATAAAACACAATTAGTTAGGGAATGGTGAGCAGAGAGGCCAGCAGGGGCCAGCCCTCAAAGAGTCACATATACCATACTATAAAAACCGTTCTTCACCCTGGTGGTAGTTTGAAGGCATGGCTGCACTCTTCCCACTTAGAGGCAGGGTCTTTGTCCCCCTCTCCTTGAAACCTATAACTGCTTCAATCAGTATAGTACTGTGGAAATCAGGCAAAGCCATGAAACACCATACAGCGTCCACCTTGTTCACTGGAATTCTCACCCATGGAGCCATGAGCCACCATGTATTCTTACTAAGAAGCCCAACTCCCCAGGCCCACCATGCTGGAGGGGCCACAGGTAAGTGCTCCAACTGACAGTCCAGCAAAGATCAGCCTTCCAGCCCTCCCCACCAAAGTGCCAGATATGGGAGTAAAGCTATCCTCTACTTTAGAGCAGCCCATTACCAGCTGAATACCACCAGCTCACCTCTGTTGATGCTCCATAGAACAGAAGAATCAGCCAGCTGAGCCCTGCCTGAATTCCTGACCTACAATTTATGAGATATAATAAAATGATTTTTTTTAACCACTAAGTTTTTGGAGTAGTATTTTATGCAGTAATAGACCATCAGAACAGCAAAGAAACATTGAAGGTTTTAGGAAGGAGAGTGGCATAATTAGAGTTGTTCTGGAAGGAGCACTTGGACTGCTGCGTGGGGAATGGATTGGGGAGTGGGGAGAATGGAGCAGAGCAACTCTAGGTCCACTGCAATTGTATAGTAAGTGATGACTAAGGCAGTGCCAGTGAGATGAAGGGATATGCTCAGCTGATTTGAGATATATTCAGAAGGTAGAGTCAACAGAATACAGTGACTGACTGGAGAGAGGAGAGTGAAGAAAGTATCCAGCTCAGGTAACTAGGTGAATGGTGGTACTATGTGCTGAGATGGGGAAAGTTTGGAGGAGAAGCATGTCTGGGCAGCCTAGGGAGAGAAGTGAGTCCATTTTAGATATAGTAGGTGAGATCATGCAAGATGGGGTGAGTAGTGGCTAGAGAATTGAGGAGACACATCTGGTGAAGACCCAAATTTGACAGCCATCCACTAAGGGATGGTGAGGGAAGCCCTAAGAATCTCACTGTGAAGAATAAAAAGAGGAAAACAAAGTGCAGAAGACCAGGGAGAAGCAGAGCCAAGACTGGCCATGGACAGTGCACAGCCTGGCCACCTGAAGTTGCCTACCACCTCCCCTTTCCTCCTGTCCCCTAGGAACCTTGGATGCTTTGACATGAAAAACAGTGAGGCTTATGAGACATGGGAGTAGGCTCTCTCACCCTGTGGCTCATCAGAACTGTATATGCCACCCCATGCCCACTTCTTTTGTTTTTTATATGCTCTGCTTTATCCTCCTCTGTCCATACCTCCAGCCTAATTGTTTTCTTTTAAATGCTCCTCATTTCTTTCCCATTTCATTTTCTTTCATCTGCAACCTGCTATTAAGGTTGTTTTCCCTACAGCTATTTTGACACCAAAGCAGCATAATCTGTTTTCCTAATTAGCTGTGATACATACACAAATGTCAACATCTTCTGCCCAACAGCACTCTCTCCAGTCATCCCCCACAACTCCCCACATAAAGGAGTTTTCCTCTCTCCCACTTCTTCTCTCCTATTCTCATGGCTCCTCCAGCCAGATATTCCTCTCAAGGAACTACTGGCCTGACCATTGACTACAGTAGCCATCTTTAGAGTTATTCCATGGAGTAAGACCATGTCTCCATAAAGACCCTGTGAGAAGCATTCTGTTATTGAGTATTAAGCAGTGTTAATGGCATGCCAGATAAGCTTTCTTTGAGAGTTAACAAATTCCGATGAAATTAGAAAATCATTCACAGGAAACTCAAGATATTGAATGGAGGAACCAAACCCAAATTCCAAAAAAGCAATATGTAAAGATGAGTCTAGAGGTGGCCATTCAGGTCTGGGGTGTGCAGTGGGAGGGGGGTATGAAGGCCAGCAGCTGAGAATTAAGACAGAGGTTGCCTGTGTGGGGATGCCTATGCCATGCGGAGGCAGTACAGCAGCCTCACAGAATATCATGAGCCTTAACACCTCCCAACTGCCTTCTAAACACACACACACGCGCACACACGTGCACACACCATATTTACTCCAGAAAACATGTTCCTGATAAAGCTAATTAGTCTGATCTGGCCAGACTGAGACTCTCCTGAATTTTGCATGACTGACTGGGCACAGCTCCAGAACAAGAGAAACCAGTAAGAATCTGAAATAGAGACCAAAATATCATGCCTCTCTTCACACCCCCTCCACTTTGTTGAACTTGTTGACAACTGACTTAATAGACTACAGAACTCATTTTAGCCTCATGACAATCCTGAGCATCTTTCTTCCCTTAGCGAGGCTTAGAGGCAGCTCCTTGAAGGCTGGACAATTTTGTAGCTTTCCCAGTACTCCTAGGATTCCCCCAGCCTCAGCCAAGACTCTGAGGACCCCCTATGAGGTGAAAGTTATCACAGGATAATGTACAGAGAGGGCTTTACACCAGGTCTAAGACATGCTAGCCACCTCCACCCCCATGAATGGTTTCTCTAACCTCAAATGCCACAACTCTTTCCACAGTTCTTAATGTGTTGAAAAGCAGGGGTTCTCGCAGCACCACCCATGATGTAATCCAGGGGGTCACAACACTGTCCCTTGCCATGATCCAGGGATGTCTAAACATTGCCTGTGATTGAATCCCAAAGCTGCACTAGTGCTTCTTCTGAAAATACCTGGTTCCTTAGTCCCAAGAACAGCCTTTGTGGCTCGAGCCTACATCAGCAGCTGCCCATGAAAAGAACCAACAGTGACCCAAATGAAGAATCCCATTATTATCTGACCTTCAAACAATGTCTGTGAGCCTTTGGAAGAACCTACAACCACTTGTGGTCTGCATTTCTTTTTCTGAAGGTCACATCCTCCTATCTAGCCCCCTAATTCTCTCTAGAAGAATTACAGAAAACTCAATCGCATTTCAATAGATACCTATGTGCCCCTGCCCTAAGAGAACTTGTACTATTCCAAACTCTTTCCCCAACTATATATGACTCCTTTCAATAAGCTTATGAAACCCAGACTCCCAAAATTATTGTAGAATATACATTTTCTAGGCAAGAACGTATTTATTCTAAGAAGCAATGCTTTCTCTTTTTTTATACTACAAAATAAGGATATTTATTATAAAGTCAGAAGAATTAAAACAGTGAGGTAATGATACAATGATAGACAAAGGGACCAACTGAACAGAACAGAGAGTCCAGAAACACACCCAAACAAAGATGGCCACCTGATTGGTGATAAAGGTGACACTGAAATGCAGAGGAAAAGGATGGTCTTCTTTTTTTTTAATTCTTTATTGGCCGGGGAGAGGTCAATAGGTGTGGGTGGAAGGAGACATATGTAATACTTTAAGCAATGCTTTCTTAATCTGCCTTGACCTTTGCACTCCCAATGACTTTCCTAATTGAGTTTTGACAATAGCGTATGTTAAATCATGACGTACACTTGGAGCAGTGTCCAGGCCTGCACTCCTGCTCTGTTCCAGCAAAGCTGTTGAATGGACACACACCTGCAGCTTCTGGAACATTCCAAACCTCATTTCCGAAAGCAGAACAGTAGGGAACTGGGGGATGTGTTCTTGCCCTCAGAGGCAAAATATTTGCTGCAGGTGGTGATCTGGGCATGTACAGTGTGGTCAAGAACATGGGTTTAGATTCCAACAGATTGTAATCAAAATTTACTGGCTCAGCCACTTACCAGCCACATGGCCCTGGGCAGGTTAGGAACTTTTTTGAGCACATGTTCTTCCATCTGCAAAATGGAAATGACATCAGTTGCTATCTCAGAGGATTATAAGGGAGAACATTATAAAGCTCCCAGCACTGAGTATGGCACAGGGGGAGCACTCTATAAGAAATAGTTATTAGCTATAATTATAATGTATAATTATAATGAGATAAGGATAACATTTCATGCATTTCTCTAGCCTCATTCCCTAATCCAATGCCTAGCACAGGGTACACAGTCATAATAATATGAATAAGTATTTCGTTTGTCCTCCTACTACATGCCAGGTACTAGAGGGATGAACACCAGTGGTTTATGGCCTTAGATACTGTAGCATTTCATGTTTATGCTACTCAAGAGTGACCCTGAAGGTCTATGATTTGTTGTTTTGCTGAGGCACAAATTTGAATTACTTGCTTGAAGCCTGGTATGTAAGAAAAAGTCACTTCCCTGGTGATTGGGCCCCTGTGACTACTCAGAATACACACCTTGACTCAACTTCATTTTTCTCTCCTTTTCTCTGCAGTGGTATTTTGCAGGGGTGGGATAGGAGTATTAGATATTTTAGGGTCCACAAAGATCTTCCTCCTAAAAGTCAATAACCTATTGTAAGATGCGGTCTCTACCTTCTTCAGGCTCATAGTCTAGTGGGGAAACACAGAGAATAACAAAATGTGTTATAATAAGGTTAAAATATAGCAGAGAGACAAACAGGATATTTTAACATCTGAAAATCGATGAATGTAATAAACCATATCAATAGAATAATAATAAAAAAAAACACACTCTCTCAACATATACCAAAAAAGGCACTTTTATCATGAAAGACAGTCTTTCCTGTAACAGCCTCAACAAACTAGGAATAGAAGGTAATTTCCTCAACATTATAAAGGACATCCTATCTAATAAAAGACAAAAGGGTAATTAACCGTACCTCCGCTATGCTTCCCATTGGCTAATCCGCAAGATATGCAAATTAACTGCCAACAAAGATGGCGGCTGGAAGCCACACAGCTGAAGCGAGCAGGAGGCTTGCTTGCTCCAGTAATGGAGGAAGCCAAGGTTTGCTGCCTGCCGTGGCCCGGCTCTGAGCTCTGAAAGCAACAAAGTTTCAATTATAGAAGCTAAACAAACCCCAGATACCTGCTTTCAGCCAGCTGCAGCCTCAAGCTGGAACGAGCAGGACGGCAACAAAGTTTCAATTATAGAAGGTAAATAAATCCCAGAATAAAACAAAAGAAAAGAAAAAAAGGAGAGGCTGGGAGCTTCAGTCGCCGGTCAGCCTGAAAATGGACCTAAACCCTCACCCAGGCTGGCCAGGCACCCCAGTGGGACCCCCAACCTGATCTGGGACACCCTTCAGGGCAAACCAGCTGGCCCCCACCTGTGCACCAGGCCTCTATCCTATATAGTAAAAGGGTAATATGCAAACTGACCCTAACAGCAGAAAGACTGGGAATGACTGGTCACTATGACACACACTGACCACCAGGGGGCAGACGCTCAATGCAAGAGCTGCCCTCTGGTGGTCAGTGTGGTCCCACATGGGGGAGCTCTCCTCAGCCACAAGCCAGGCTGATGGCTGCCAGTACAGCGGTGGTGGTGGGAGCCTCTCCTGCCTCCTCAGCAGCACTAAGGATGTCTGACTGCAGCTTAGGTCTGCTCCCTGCTGGCAAGTGGACACCCCCCGAGGGCTGCCGGGCTGCCAGAGGGATGTCTGATTGCCAGCTTAGGCTCAATCCCCGGGGAGCAGGCCTAAGCCAGCAGGTGGTCATCCCTCAAGGGGTCCCAGACTGTGAGAGGGCACAGGCTGGGCTGAGGGATCCCCCCCCACCCCCCAGTGCACAAATTTTTGTGCACCAGGACTCTAGTTTATAAAATATCCACAGTTAACATCATACTTTGGATAGGAACACTGGATGGCTTGGAGACAGGAAAAAGAGAGAGAGACTTACTTGGAATTTTCATAACATTTAGAAAGATAAAACTATAAAAATCACTTGACACCTAGCCAGCATGGCTCAGTGGTTGAGCATCCACCTATGAACCAGGAGGTCACTGTTCAATTCCAGGTCAGGGCACATGCCCAGGTTGTGGGCTCAATCCCCAGTGGAGGGTGTGCAGGAGGCAGCTGATCAATGATTCTCTCTCATCATTGATGTTTCTATCTCTCCCTCCCACTTCCTTCCTCTCTGAAATCAGTAAAAATATATTTTTAAAAAATCACTTGACAAAATATACAGCCATATTTTTATAATCTTAAAATTTTTATAATCTTAAAGCCAAAAATTATGACACAAAACCCAGATGCTATTAAATAACAGATTGACAAAGTCAAATATCCAAAAGTTAAATGATCCTGCATGACAATGAAAACATCACAACATCTTCTGCATTTACCACCTATTCAAAATATCAGTAAAATAATTAATAACTGTTTTTTAATCTATGCTATCCCATGGTCCTCATAATACCCCTGTGTCTCTCACTACTTTACCATCCACGCTAGGACAAGTTCCTCTGGGCAGAAAAGCATCTCAGCCTTTGCCCCTCAACAGAGGACCTCCCCTAATCTTGGCTACTTGGGAAAAGGTTCTCCACCCAACTGGATTCTGCCTTACTTCTGGTTGAGGCTCTTGATACTTGGATTATTGCTCTCCTACCTCCGTGACACTCTGTAAACTACATGGGCTAATGGCAACAAAAGAATGGCAGCCAATTTGCATGTCATTCGATGCTCAATTCCTATGAGAACAAAATGTATCCCAGTTTCCTACCCATTACTGCTATAAATGCTCACTTGTCTCCTAGGCAGGCTGACCAAGACCCACAGACAAACCACTGGCTGCTCTCCACTAAGGCAGTGGTCGGCAAACTCATTAGTCAACAGAGCCAAATATCGACAGTACAACGATTGAAATTTCTTTTGAGAGCCAAATTTTTTAAACTTAAACTATATAGGTAGGTACACTGTTATTAACTTAATTAGGGTACTCCTAAGCTGGCCTTTGCTAAAAATGTCCTCAATCTGATTGAGGTATGTTCGCTGAGGTGGACCCCTTCCAACTCTCCCATCCACATTCGTCTTGTACACTTGTTTTGTCTATCTCCTTTCGTTCATCCTCTCTATATGTCCAAACCACCTCAACATACCTTTCTCAATCCTCAACACTACATCTTCTTTCACTCCACAATGTTCCCTAAAATTAACTTAATAAACTTTACTTAAAGTTTTAAGTCTTAGTTAAACTATAGGTACGCTGAATAAAACTTGATATCATACTTAATAACGATATTATTTATTGATAAAATTAAATTCCTTACAATTTACCTTACAGTATCCATAAAATTAAATCATGACAATGACTGACAAACACTAATGTGAACAATGGCCTTGCATCTCCTTGGAAAGTTTGGGTAAGTCAGGTTTGTATGTTGTTGTTTTTAATTTTAGGCACGATTCCAGGTTCTCATCAATAAGACGACTTCTCAACTTACTCTTGATAAGGTTCATGCTTGAAAATGTAGGATTTGCAGCTGGTTGGAAAAATACAGGTAACTTTATGCTTCGAGTAGATACTTTTGTCACCAGCGCGCGATTTGCAGACGTGACTAGCACTAACCACTGCACAATGAGATTGCTGACTGACTGGCTCACGCAACTCATGCATGAATCCCGCGCACCTCCCCTGCACTGCGTATCCTGTGGCCTGCCTGTGCCTCGTCTCCCGTCTCCCGACCGACCGACCAACACCCCCCACTTCTTCTAACACCACTTCCTCAAAATAGAGTCGCCCAGGCCGAAAACTGACTTCTGCGCATCGGCCACGGTTTCCATCGCACTGTACGTGCGCACCCGCACGTGGTATTTTGTGGAACAGCCACACTCAAGGGGCCAAAGAGCTGCATGTGGCTCACGAGCCGCGGTTTGCTGACCACTGCACTAAGGAATACACAGCCCCAACTCCAGTCTCATAACCTCTGGTCAAAGTCAACTCTGGCTTTTTCTTCTTTTTCAGTCTCACCAGGCATTACATCCTCCCTCCCTGCTCAAAGCTAGCAATAAATTTTGGCTATGGCCAAAATAAAAACGTTGTATTTCCCAGGACAACAGGAGATGGAGTAGTCCACTTTTAGCTCTGTGGTTTCTAAATGAATATAATTTTTTTCTACAACTTTCAATCCTGCCCTAAGATGATACTGTTTTGTTTAGTTTTTGCTTATTTGTTTGTTTGGTTTTTTTAAAGAAGGAAGGAAGGAAGGAAGGAAGGAAGGAAGGAAGGAAGGAAGGAAGGAAGGAAGGAAGGAAAGAAGGAAAGAAAGAAGGGAGGGACTCTGGAGAAGCCTGTGCTGGGCAGGTGCTGTCCATGGTTCTGATCCCGCTTGCCAAGATGAAGTGTTTTCACCTAACCTGGAACTATGGTAGTCACTGAACAATCACTTTCAAAAATTTTTTATATATAAGAGAAGGTAAAAGGGAGTGGTGAGAAAGAAGGGAAGAGAAAGGAAGAAAAAGAGAGGGGGAAACAAAGACAATTGTCAAAGCTGAGACCACTGTGAAAGATTAATTAACCAATAGAAAAAGGGAGGTTTTGTTTTTCAAAGAATTGTAGCTACCAAAAAGCCTGAACAGTCATAACTGACATATAAATTTCTAAATTATTGAAGCAAAGTAGGGAATTTATCAAGTGCCAAGTGATGCTGAGATTTGCTGGTGTAGATGCAAGTAAATAAGATCTTGGGCTGGATGAGATAGAGACAGTGTGATTGAGTTGTGTTGTACCAAAGTTTTCATGGTTTTCTTTGTTTTTATTTTGCATCTTGATGTAAACTGAGACCTCTGTGTCATAATTTACATAGCTTTCTTCAAGTTCTTGTGAAAATCCTTTTTCAAATCCAAAACTAAATTACTTTTCTCTCTTAGAGGCTGGGGGGCACTCCCCGCTGGGTCCCCTCCTCCCCTGCCCGTTCCTCTCTGAGACCAGCGCTGACAGCCCACATCACACAGAGTACATTCAGCCACTCAGCCGCTGAAAGTTGACAAACTGCCAGCTCTTTCCACAGATAATAATTCTTCATAGCTTATTTTCAAAACACTTGAACTCTATAATGTATGCTCACTCTGCAACAAGGAATTACAGAAAACTGATACACTCCTCAATATCAAGAAGCGGAATTAATGTTCTGGGTCTGGTTTTTACGTGCCGTCTGGGCTTCAGGATGCACGAGAAGAAACTGAAAAATTGAGGGCAGTGTTTAAAGGGCTTGGGGTGTGAGATGGCTGAGAACTGCTTGGAGCCTGGTAAGGACTTTCCTGCACAGAGGGGTCATGGAGAGAAATCAAGGCCAGCGGGAGCACTCTGCATGAGAGATCCTTCTATTCAGTCCTTTTTATTTTAAATATCATTTCTCAGTATTCCAGAATGTTAGAGATAGAGAGGAATTAAGTAATCCATGTTTTCAAACAAACAACAATAAAACCCTGAAACCCAGAGAGGTTGGATGACTTCCAAGGTCACAGAATTGGTGCATAATCGTGGCTGGCATCCACGGCTCCAAGGCCAATGCAGTGCCTGTCCTATTACACTACGGCCACTCTGGCTCACCACTCACTGTCCATGTGTCCATGGGTAAGCTAATTACC